GCGTATTAAATTAAATGCATCTTGTCTAAATAAACCGCGCATTGTTTCAATAGCTGAACTTGGGGAGCTCCGGCCGCCTCTCGGGTGGGAGAGGCAGCTCTGCTCAGCTACTCTATCATTGTTTAATAAAGGAGATTAGTGTGCGCGGATGGAGTGCCACGAAACGTCTGGGTCTTGCTGATGGGGAGGAAAAAAACGGTCTTCTCTTTCTCCCCAAGCAATCTTTTCACCCAGTTAGAAGATTACACCACCTCAGACGTGGACTAAGGAGCTTCTCATCCCTGACAGCCACGGGAGAGTCAGAGGGGAGGAAGGCAACCTTTGTGGGAGCTGGGGACAGCAGAGCGCAACAGGGCTAGGTTGCGGGCAGGAATGAGTATGTGCTAGAAAGTCTGCCTAAATCTGCAAGCAATTGCGTTTGCTACCAGCTGCATAACAACCTTGCCCTCGAGACCACCCTGGGAGCTTTGAAAAAAACACTGGGACTTCGCACCCCGCCTGCAGAGAGCTGGGCTCGCTGGCTTTGAACCTCGCTGCATCACAGGGGTTGGTCGAGTCTCCGGGGATTTCTGGTCCTCGCAGGACGAGTCCAGCAATGGCTGTTCTGCCGCTCCCTTCCCTTCCCCGCCAGACTCGCAAGCAGTCAGCACGCCTGTGTTTTTTTGCTGAACACCATTTTTCCACCCTGGGAAGACTGGGGAGGTTAAACTCCTCGTCTGAACCGAAGCCCTGGACGAGTGCAACTGAGGTTATAGAAATCCGGGAGGGGAAATGACGAAAATGCTTTATTGTGATTAAAACAAGAGGGAGGAGGGAGAGGCGGAACTTCACAAAGGTGAAGGATGGGAAGTTTGCAGAGCTAGGGATTTAGCCTGTCTCTGAGCACCGGGCGGGGGGTTAGTCATTATTTCCCTCTGTCTCTCGGAGGCTGCAATGGCACCTCCTCCCCAACTAGCTGAACCTGTCCCACTTGTCAGCTTTTGTTTCAGGGGAAGCTTTCGCTCCTGAGCGGCTTTTGGGGGGAGCCCTGTCAGCCACCCGCCCGCAGCCCCTGGCCCTATTCCCCACTCGGGAATTACGTGCCAAACCTGGAACAGGGACTTATCTTCCTAGCCAAGCTCCCAGGTCAACTTCCTCGTAGGAAAGCTGATTTATGCCTGTTTATACGTATGGAAAAAGGAGGCAGAAGCCAAGCGCGGCACCCCTCCAAAATCTCATTGTCTTTGAGGCGGGAAGGGGGAAGAAAGGGGAGGCAGAAAACCTAAAATGATAAGGTTTGCCTTGTCGCGGCAGGGAGGACTTGACCAGAAAGGCAAACACAGGGTTTTGCCTCACCTTCCCGCAGCCGAAGCCTTTTCTAGGTCGGACAAAACGACCGGTCCCTCCGTGAGCCCCGGCTGGGAAAGCAACCAGCCACCGCAAGCGCCTTGCCTTGGCGGGGAGCCCTGACGTAACCGAGGCCCCGGCAGGTGAAACCTGAACAAAATTGTGCCTTTTCCCCGCTGCTAGACACGGGATCGGCCGTGCCCGGGGGTGCCCCATGCGCGGAGCGATGCTTTGGCATAGGTGTGGGGACGGGAAACGCTCCGTCCGGCCAAAGCGTCCGACCTGTGCCAAAGCATCGCTCCGCCGGTCCTTCCTCTCGTCCAGCCTCATCCTCTCACTCCCCCGAGGCCAAGGGACACCGGAGCTGGCAGGGTGAAGCGGCCGGGGCCGGTGAGGTGAGATGCTGCAGGTGGCGGCTGGTCCCTCCCGGGAGCCGCTTCCCCGGGTGCGCACCCATCCGACGGGGAAAAGAGAGGGAGGGGTGTTAAACCCTGGTAAGAGGGGATTTTTCGCCCCGTCCTGCCATGGAGGAGGGCTCAGGCTTGCCGTGAAGCTAGGTACCAGGAGGAGTTTGCTCACGGGTTAAGCATTTGTGTAGGTGGCAGGAGAAAAGGCGCTGCGCCCGTTGCTGCAGATGACAAACAGGCTTCGGGGGGGGGGGGGGGGGCGCGGTAGCGGTGTAGGGTATAGATACCCCTGA